ATATAACCGAATTGAGAAACTTCTTTTTGAAATAAATTAAAAATTGAGATTGAGAGAATTGATAGAAATATAAATATTTCTTAAATATAACCTATGCTTACAAAGACAGTAAGATTGTAATTGATTAATGGTAGCTTTAGCAATTAATGTTAAAAACACGTTATCAGTAGATACATTTTATTACAAGAACAACCGGATTAACTTACGTGTATTTTAGACAAAAAAGTTCGACTAGTTTCGCGACCACTCGGAACCCTTAGTCATGATCGGTCGTGACGTGAGCTCGAGCCTAAAATACATGTAAGTTAATCCAGTTAGTCTTAAATTAAAATATAATGTGTACTTACTAAAATTTTTAACAATAAAATCTTTAGATGCAGTTTAAGATTTTGTTCAGCAAAAAAATCTTCTATCATGACGAATTTATACCAAAATAAACCCTATTGATTGCAAGACGATTCAAAGTGGGCGAAAATATCGCATAAAATATCTTGTAACAAAAAAAAAAAGCGAATGAAACTAAATACTTTTTGAAATACCTCTTCTTTTTTTAAATACTTTTCGAAACGCGATGTCTTTGTTAAAATACATAGTTCACTTAGCACATTGGGTGCTGTTTTGCTTATCATATTTCTTTTTTAGGATTACTATGGAAATATGTAGTCCTTGTCACATATGTACTAGTTATATTTGGAATATTATTTGCTTAGATATATAAGGTATCTCTAACTCTAAATAAGTAATCGATAAAATGTCATACAATAAAACGATGTCACCTGTTAGAGTCTTGATAAAACTTTTATCAAAATTCTTACATTTGGTGGAGTTTTGGAATAACTGAAATATATAAAAAATATGCGTATTTAATGAGTAAGGTACGTATGTACCTACTTGTAAAACTTAAAATAAGTATGACTTTGATAAAAAATCATAATTAATATGCTTATATGAAAACAGAATATAATTTAACTAAAAAATCAAGAACATTTTGTACCTTATATAGTATCATTCCTTATTGAAGATACTGCATGCTCAGTGGACAGAGAGCATTTAAGACGAATAATCTACTTGAGACTTAAGAGGTCATTTAAATAAACTTGACATTACAGGTAGGTTTCACACATTTTACAAGTTTCTCTTCCTCTCTCTTGATGACTTCTATGTTGATATTATTGAAAGTTTTATCTACATTGCTGTAATTCTTAATTGCGTTTATATAAAAAAACAGCTACTTTAATCTTGACATAATGTTTATGGAGCCATTATAAGAGTAAACTTTAACAAATGCTATTAAAAGAATGTTCAAAGAGAATTAGCAAAGATACACTAAAAAACAAGTAATATAAAATTGTTTTTCACAAAAAAAAATCTACTCCAATCGTTTTAATTAAAAAAAATAGTTATTTCGATTTATAAAATAAACTATTACACCAAATTCTATAAATAAAATTTCTATGAAACCAATCTGTATGTATATCCTTGCAGATAAAAAAAAAAATATTTTTTAAATCGGTTTACAATTGACGAGATTATGAGGTAACAAACATAATAAAAGTTACTACCGAGTTTAGAACCTTTTTCTATTTTAAGTCTGTAATCTCTTCTATTTTAAATTCATTTAAAAATGAAATAATTTTAAGGGGATTCGTTCACTCGTACACTACAGTTTATATTGAATTTTAATAGATTGTATTATCACAGTGTAAACTACAGAGGTTATTGTTAATAACTATGCCTACGTTATCATACTACAAGCAAGATAGGGAGTAAAATGTAACTGTATTGAGAAATGTTACTTCACTGCATTACTCTCGAACATTTTTTTTATACAATTTAGAATGGCAAACAAGCTGACGGCCTACCTGATGGAAAGTGGTAATCGTCGCCTATAGACATGAGCAGTACCATGGACATAACAGAGTATACTGTTTCGCCCATGATACCCCCCATGCGTTAAGATAATTAATAAGATACTCGTACATTAAGATCACATCAGATGAATAAATGTTTAGATTTTATTATATTATTTTATTCTTAATCACAGAAAACATAAAATCTTACTCCTCAGGAATGCATTACAGTGTACTCTTGTTACCAATAGTGCTGTTCGTGTCTATTAGTGACAGTTACTACTTTCCATCAGATGGGGCCGTCAGCTTGTTTGTCATATCATAAAAAACACAGTAATTTTTCTTTATAACGTGGTAAGAAAATTTATGTTCACCTTATACTCAAGTCGTAGGTATTGCGAGCGATTCTTAAAATGGAATTTGACAAAAAGAATAGGGAGAATAGGACAAGAGTGAGAACATAGAACTAGATGGGTTTAAACTAAAAGGACAATTGAAGAACAAGGAATACTGTTGAGTAACGAGAAACAGCTCATAATTTTCACATAACATGCTCTCTAAACAGGAATTCGAAGGTGTAGAAGAAGAATGAGAGTTCGCTCGCTTGGTCCAACTCCACTTTAATAGAGTTAAAATGCAAATGGACTTACTTGGGCTTGGAGTACGGCGACGAAGGCGAGGACGCCTTGTGATTCTTGTTGGGGTGCGTGTGTCTGTTAGCGTTGTTGTCCAGGCCGCCGCCCGGCGAGATTTTCCCGGCGAGTGCGTTCAGAGAGTGCAGCATTGCGGGCGGCGGCCGCTTTGTACCAAGCGGCCTGGTCACGCTGATGCCTCGAGCCAGTTTGTCGAGAGCCTGTACGCGATCGGCAACCACGGCACCTTATCTCCTGATAAGAGGCGCGGGGGCACACCCGCCCCCCGCCTCATCGCCACCTGACACTGTCACACTCCGCGTATTTACCATTTGTCGTTTAATCTAATACGAGGGTCAGCGTCCTGTCCGATTCAGGCATTTTTTCATAACGTTTTAAGTTTCTTTTAATACACACTTTAATTTTTGCACTTTGGTCTTTGTTATAGTATCACTCAATTCTTATTCACTTTTAACCTGTTGGAAGTTGGTTGATAAGTAAAGATGGCCGTTGCGATATTTCTGACTTATGTAAATAAATAATTAGCAAATGATATAAAGTGAACAAATAAAAAGTAATAATTAAGCTCGTGTTGCAAACATTTTCAAATTAATTTACTTAATCAAGATAACTTAATGGCGCCTGTACAAAAATGTATAGCAACAAACTTTGTTCGTCGCAATAAAGTTTATCGTAGGCGTTTAAGGAAAAATATGCCGTGAGCAATTGAATTAGCCTCGATGAATAAGTGATTAAGGACAGTAAAAGATTTTAAAAAAAGTAGAGTAATTATTTATTCTGGAGGACAATCGCTTAATATAACAAACGAGATAGAAATTATTGCAGATATCAAACACTTAGATCTTCTGTTTTTATTTTTCCAAAAAAAAACTTGTATGAAATATTTAAAATTTCTTGATCTAATAATATTTTATACATTATAATCTTAGATTATATAGATAGAGTATCAAGTCTCAAAACCGGGTAAATTTTATGTCCAATTGTCCAATTAGCTGCATCGTTTTTTTATGTGTTCTATATACGTATGCACAAAATGTATCTTAACGTATCTATATTTAATTATTTAATAAATAAAATTATTTTTTTGCATTAAAAAGATTTAAAAATTATATAACAAAATAAATATAGAAGGTATAAAGGAATCACTCATAACTACATATTTATCACGCAAAATTGTATGAAAAAGTTGATCCGTTTTTCTTAAAGCATTTTTATGGAGACATTCTATCTATATAATCTAAGATTATAAAATATTGGTTGGTTATGAATTATTGTCACTATCAATATAAAAAAAGGTGGTAGAATTAGTTATATATATATATATATATATTATATATATATATATATATATATATATATATATATATATATATATATATATATATATATATATATATATAAGCCCTTTTACTCCGAATTCTCTATAAACCTACTAAGACATATTTTCCCTTTCTATTTATTATAATATATCTCTCAATTCGATGTGCCTCCTGGCATAGGCCTCCTTCAGCTCTCTCCACTGAACTCTATCCTCCGCCACTCTACTCCAGTAAGGCACTAAAGTTTGACGGATAAGACAAGATATATACATATATAATATACAAAGTTACAAAAGTTTTTACGTTCTCCATTTCCTTTATCATTCTCATCGCTGTTAGTATTTTATTTATTTATTTTTTATTTAATTTAATGGCTTATTTTTTATCACGTACCTACGCCATTATCAGCAGTGGTACTTTACGCGGCTTAAAAAGCCCCGGGGAAAACAAATCCGTGCCACAATACTACAATAAAGCCACTCGCCCCTATAATATAGTGCCTGTTGGCTCCCGGCCCATTATGGTACTAATAATCATAATAGCACTGAATAACATTTCATAAGGCAAACAAACACATTTCAGTGGCGTGATGGCCTCTCCGTTAATCTTATATATTACGGGATTAAGTTATGATCATGCCTCTTTGATGATACTTAGTAATGCTGCATCTTCAATTCAGAATCATTACTAGGCTTAAGAGTGCTAATCCTTACTAATGTTATATACGTAAATATAAAAGTGAGTTTCGTTTGTTTGTTACCTTACAGTGCCTTAACAGTTAAACCAATTTTTTTTAAAGAGTGAAAATGGCTTGGTAACTCCGCCTGTGCTATTGGTATACACTGGCGGGGTACCAGTGAGAGGTGATAAGTGAGAAGAAAAAGGCAGGTCAGTCAGGCTCATCTTGACAAATTCAACGTTAAATTAGTCATGAAAGTTACCAGTGAGAACCGCGTGGAAGTCGACCTGATAGGGTATATTGACAGCAATGGAGACTAACCTCTCCAATACTAACAATCCCTTCCTCCCACTCCAAAAGTCTTGCAGGAGTCAATGGACGCGAGTGATTCAAGACTTTCTCTAATGATTGTCTATATTTCTTCAGCAGTGGACAATTAAGGGTTAGAATAAAAAAAATACGCCATAAATTATATTATACTCGTATTGAAGATATTGGAAAAAAAGTTATTTGATAAGTTGAAAGCATTCGCCCTATTTGACTTAGTAGTCCCACATTACATTCTGTTTCAATTCATATCACGTCAAAAGGTCTGTGGAGAAAATAATATTTCATAAATTGTATAGGTATACAATGGTAATATATTATTTAGTATTAGTTTAGCTTTGCCCGCTACTTCGTTCTCATTGTTTAGAAGTAGAAAAACCATTGAAGTAGATTTAGGTAGACGTATCAAGATAAAAAACCCAACTAGGGTGAATGCGGTTAGCATTCAATTTGGTACAGTAATTTTTACGTGTTGCCGGAATAAGCATGCAGACGGATAGAAAGGTAAAATTAAAATTTCTTTTATTTATTTATATTTACCGACTAAGGGAGCTTAACAGTTTCCCAATTCGTTCCCTTAGCAATCACAATATATGTAACATAATAACATTTCATTATTGGATACTTTCTAAATAATTTATTGCCATTCTGCGAAACTCGACAAGTTTACAAGTCAATATATCCAAGTTCAGATAATGGCCCATGTCATCGTTGAGCAGAGTCAATGGCAGTGGAAGGAGGGGGGGGGAGAGATTGTTAGTAATGCGGACTACTAGTCCCATTGCTAGCAATATACCCCGTCAGGTTGAACTCCACGCGGTCTCCCCTGGAAAACATCGTGCTGAATTCCAGGTGTATTTATTACGATGGGCTAACTGGCCTGTTCTTTCATTTTCACTTATCATCCTTCATTGGTGCTGCGCCGGTGTATACCGATAGCGCAGGCGAGTTTACCATACCATTATCATCCGTTAAAAAAAATGCTAGTGGAAGAAGAGCCTATTTTGATAGTTGTATTTTTCTCAACCGAACATGGAAAAAGTTCCTTCAACGAGCTCGAGCTTTGATTAGAAGTTAAGGTTATAAGAATCCTTATACTGATTCTTCTTTAATATCTCCCACGCACAGATATCGTCTAGTAACAATTTAATTTTATAAATAGTCAGTTATTTAAATTAATGCGTATATAGGTTTCTCTTTACTTTAAATTCTAATTATTTGCGGGGTAAACAGAGATATTCGGTTATCAGTCCCATATTCATTTCTGAAAAAATATAAAAGGTTCAAATTTTTTATCAGTTTCGATGTTTCACCTAAATAGATTAAATATTTTTCTACATTCTTTGTCTACATTATTTGAATTTAAAATTTTTTAACATCTCTGTAATTTTTTTTCCAAGATAGTCTCTTGGGATGGAAGATAGTCTCTCTCGGGGCATGGGGTTCTTTAAAAAAGGGAAAAAGAGGTTTCTTCAGGGTCGGCAACGCGCGCGTAATGCCCCTGATATTGCAGGCGTTTATAGGCTATGATAACCGCTTACCATCAGGTGGGCCGTATGCTTGTTTGCTATCTCAGTGGTATAACAAAAAATATTATTTGATGCCCATTAATTTCTCTCTTTCTGTGAGTAGACAAAGTAAGGTTGAGAAATCAGATCGGTAAAAGAATAATCTAGGCAGAAGGTAGGCTTTTAAAAATAAAACCATGGAAGCTTATTATGTCCTTTTATAGTTTTTTTATACAACTTAGAATGGCAAAAAAATAGAATTGTAATGTTTTTATTTCTTCTCAATATAGTAATTCAAAATAACAGTCAAAGATATATAATAGAGCGAACATTTGTTTGTATTTGGTCAAGTCAAATTTAGGTTTCAATTAGGAAATACACAGAAGGTATGAATACTAAACGCACGCAACTGCGTAGAAGTTACGACTAGAATGGTTCAAGTTTTATGGTCGGCAGTGTAGCTTCTGTGATTTGAATAAATCACGGCCCTTGATTGATAAGCTACATTGAATGATGTTAGGTATTTACTATAAATGGTATACATAGATAGATAGACACTCTTTATTTTTTCCTCCATAAGATTACAATAGTAAACTTATTATAGATACAAACAATTACAAAAAAATATTACACTAAGAAAACAATGGGCCAACCTTATCGCTAAGGGCGATCTCTTCCAGGCAACCTTTAGATAGAAAAGAGTAACTATAAACAGTTTGACTGGAGGCACGAAACTTTGTTCGTTTTTTAAATATATATATAAGTATGAATCGTATATATAGAATCATATATATGATCGTATATATAGAAATACATATACGATCATTTTCTATTTTTTCAACAGTAATGTTTTGAATAAAAAGCTGTCGTAATGCTTCTTATTTCCGATTTCAGATTATTTATTGTTAGGGAAAAGTCATGGGTTACAACTACTTGATTATAAACCAGTATAGGTACCGAGATAACTGCAACTCCATTGCTAGCCATAAACCGTTTCAAGTCGACATCCTCGTGGTTCTCCCTGGAAACCATCGTGATTGCTTAATTGTTGAATTTGTAATGATGGGCTAACTGCCCTGCTTCATCCTTAGCTATCACCCTTCACTGATGCCCTGCCAGCGTATACCGATAGCGCAGGCGGGGTTACTATTCCATTATCATCCATTAAAAAAAAGGTCAACTAAAACTGTCACTGTGGCAAAGTATATTAACGTATAAATTCTCATGACCTCATTTATATCCAATTCTATACGTTAATAAAAAAAAAAACTCTAGTCAGCACGAGATTCGATTGCGCCATACTATTTTTGTCCTATCAGGGATCCTAGCCCTCTATTTCCAGTTATTTTTACTACACAACATTCGCCCGTTACTTTCCTTCGGGACTGTATGAGTTTCGCGTTAAATGCTAATGCGTATTGACCATGATTACTAATTGCCTGATTTCAGGCGCCTGAATTATTTATACTATGTACTATTTCCGTTGTTGTAGTACTTCGTGTGTAATCTAATATGTGGAGATGTTTGCGTGTATTGGCGACTAGGGTTGCCACCTGCTAATACTTGAAATAAATATAGTTACCAGCATAAAAAAATACGAGTTTTAGATTATACTTGTATGA